GCTGTGGGCTTTGCTCTGCAGAAGAACGCGGTTTCAGAGGCCATGGTGGAATGTGACTTCCCTTAAGGGAGGGTCGCATGTGCTTAAACCTGAGGGGGGGTGGTTGCCACTGTTTGCTACAAGCTCTGCGAGGTCTTCGAGGACGAGTTTGGTATGCACCTGCTCCTGCGTTCGAACCTCACTTGTGCCAGTGCTGCTTGACTCTGTCCGTCGCCCATCGGCAACCCGGTGTGCCCCATTTTCCCGAGGTTCGGATTGAGCGCACGATGGTCGCGAGCGTATGTGGTTGGATCGCTTTGGAAAGGCTAGATCCGAGCATCTGAGTGTGGGTTGAAGCGGCCAATGCTGAAGATTCGACCTGGGAGTTGGAAGAAAGAGAGCTTTCCAATGCATGGCTCTGTCAGTGTGGGCAAGTTCAAGAGGACAGAAGAGTCTTGATGCACTCGTTGATCTTGATGAACCCCGCCGCCGTTTGGGGTCAGGGTGCCGGTGCGGCCAATGGCAGCCGCGTTAGGACTGGCACAGATCCAACAGCAATACTGATGAGCGTCGCACCGGTCCCGAGCTTGGTGCATTTCGAGATCATCCAGGCTCGCCTCCTTGCCTGAGGCAGAAAACTATGCCTCCGAATCCGCGAGTGACAAGTTGGGAGAGAAGCCGCCCAGGTGGCATTCACCGGTGTTGCGGTTTTGCGGCTTTGCACTTGTTCTTGTCCAAGATCGCTTTTCCGTGTTGTCCGCCAGGCGCTCCGTAGGAGGCCCGGACCGAGCAAATCTGGGCATGGCAAACGGTTGTTTCCACGTGTTTTTACATTTTGTCATGTTTGCGGACGGCGGAGTCGTCACTTGTGTTTGTGCAACGCTTGATTGTGAAGGGCTGGGTGAATTTTTCCCGCCTCGTGCTTGCAGGCGCTGGCGTGGTCCTTGTTATCCCGGAGAAGAGGGAGGCAGCTGTGAATCTTGCTTTCCTGAAGTGCAGCTTGAGCTTGGATGGTTTGTGTTTGCCAATGTGTCAAATCAGGGGGACCCCTTCCTTCTGGTGTCAATTCACAGTTATTTTTGCGGGGTTGGGGTTGCCCAGGTTCACCTTTCCGATTTGATTAGATGATTCGCCCTTCGCTTCAGGGCTTTCTGAAGCGCACCCTGGTGAATTGGTCGCAGAAACTCAGGCGCGCGCGCTCTGCTGGTGCTGTTGCGAGTTGATGGCTGGAGTGGTTCTTTTGTGCATTTCACGCACGGCCCAGGCCACTCTTGGAGAGCTTTGCATTCAGGGTGACGCTGGTGGCATGTTTAATCTTCGCGTTATTCGGAGGAGGCCTGTTTGTTGTTTTGGACGTGCCGGATGATCCGGGAATTCCCATCCTGGATACTCTGATGACCATTGTGATGGTGCTTTTCATTCTTGAAATGATCATCAATGGCATCGTGGACTATAAGACCTATCCATTGCTCCTTAGCTCAAAGAACAAGTCACATGAGACTGGTGAAGCTCGAGTCTCACTTTGCGTGCACGCGTGCACGCACCCACACGCATGTGTTGAGCGGTCTGAGGTCCTTCTTTTTCTGGATGGACGCGCTGGGCACGGTGTCCATGATCTTCGAGATCTCCACGCTGCTGGGCAGCGGCGGGAAAATGCAGACTGCCGCCGGCTCTGTGGACGCAATGCTGATCCGCACGGCCCGGGCGGCCAAGGCTCGGAGCGGATGCGAGGGGTGGGGGGCAGGGGCAGGCAATGAGCGGGCGATGCGGCTACTTTTTGTTCTCCTTCTTTTTCTTTTTGTTCTGACCAATTTTTCCTAGAGGGCTCCTGCCTTGCATGCTCGTGCAAGATTGCGAGGTGGGAGCACGAGTCGGGCGCCTCTCGAAGTTGATGAAGTGCATCAGCTACTACCTGAAAGACAAGGACAAGAAGATGGACCTTTCGTGGTGGGCTGAGCTCGTTGTGTTTTTGTTTAGCAAGAGGCGGCAAGAATCGTCAAATTTGGGGACCACGCAGTTGCCTCTGCAGTTGATCTTTTTAGCCTTCAAAGAAGGTTCAACTGAATACGATTTTTGTAGACAAGTCAAAAAAAAGACCCGCCAAGCAGTTGGTTCCTTGTTTGCTTTTTTGGGGAAAACCAGGTAGAGATGGCCCCCATTTTGAGACAAACCCCAGAAAGAGGAAGCCGTGCCCTAAAAACCCAAGGGGCAAGAACCCGGCGGAAGCGAAGAAGCTCTCCGGGCGGCTCATGATGACGCTTTCCACGAAGGCGGGTAAGAGTTTTCCAGCACGCTGGACCAAGGGCTCTGTGAGAAGGACCCATGGAACCGTCTGGAACCGTCTGGAACCCTTGGGGCACCCACCCACTTTGCCATCTCGGGATGGACCGCGGGGTGCTCAGCCCATTTCAAATTCCGGTCCCGGTTGGGTGGTTGGGTGGTCGTTTCACTCTACTTGCTGAACGGCTTCCAATTACAAAGCTTGAGCGAGCATGAAATTCATCAGGCCTTTAAGGCTACT